GGGGTCTTTACATAACACCCCCCACCCCAAATCCGCACAAGCCTGCTGTGTCCCCCCCACTTCTGAAATCAAAATTTCGTCCCTGCCTCCCTTCTTGTATCAGTCTTTGTCGGATCATTGTTTGTTATCAGCATTGTATTTGTTCTGCCGTTCCCGCTCTGCCATTAAAACTACTTTTATTTCATCCGTGCCTGCATTCCTGCCTCTTGATCTGCTCCACCACAAATGGTCCGCCGCCATCCACACCCTCAACGTGACAAAAATAGAGATACTCTTTGTAATTAACCAATATAGAAAACTTTTGTTGAATCATATTACACTTGATACAGCCTCTGCTTCCACTTCAAATCAATCTCTCTGGGCTCCTTTGATTGGTTCCATAACATAGTGATGATGGGGGATCATTGATATTGTCCTGTGGGATGATATGGGTGATGGGGTGGATGGTCTGAGTTTGGAGTATCCGGACGTTCCCTGGAGGTGGGTTCACTGAGGGTGTCTGGGACTGGGGGGCTGCCTCAAGGGGTGGACTACTGGCAGTTGTGACTGGGGCCCCTTTGGGGACTTGGCGGTGGCCATGGGTCGTTGCCTGGCAGCTGCATTGCCCCTGAGCGGGTCTGGATGGGGGCCTGGGGGCTCGGGGTGTGGGGGTGGGGTCTCCATGCCCTGGGTGGCATTTTGGCAACAGAGGTGTCTATTTGGGCTGGCTCCCTGGAGGGCTTAAGTCCAACCAGCCATTCCTCCCCATCCCCACACATTTTTCTTCTCCTGCTCCCTCACATCATCACACAAACAAGCACATAGGACCTTAGGGGGTGGGCAAGTCAGGGGGTGTGGGTATGGACCCCATTTCCGCATTCCTGTGGCAACCTGCCCCCCCCCCCCCCCCCCCCCCAATTTTATTTGCACCTTAAACACTTACACCAACGACATTCCACGCAAACACACACTTAGGGCCTTGGGAGTGAGCACATTCAACGACATTTGGCAAGGGGATTTTTCAGCCTCATCCCGAGTGCCGCTGCCCACTTCCAATTTTAAACTGCACTTAGACACTGAAGGTGGTGGGTGCAAGTTTGGTAGTGTGGTGGCATCAGCTGTCGTAGGCCAGACGATGCCCGCATGCCCGCTCACCACAGCCATGGAATACACCTCATCAACACGCACTAACACTATATTGGAGCAGGCGGAGGGTAGACTAGGGGTCTTAGCACACCTTTGTTGTCACTTGGCTTCCTGGGGCTGGAGGCTAGGAGGGAGATCTGGCCGTCTGGTTGGGGTCTTGGGTGGTGGGTTGCTTTGCTCAGCGTTGAGCAGGGGAGCCTGCTCATCAGCACAACCAAAAGAAAGGGTTGAACTCTGGGAACCGGTGATGGTTGTACCCCATGTGCAGCAGTACCGGGACCAGAGTGAATAGGGTGTGTATGGAGAGCATGAGTGGGTGTCCAGTGTGCATTTTTGTAAGTCTTTGGTTGTACGAGTCTGTGTGAGCATGAGGGAGGGAGTGTGTGACTGTGTCTGTGTATGACTGTACAGTATATGTCAGGTGGGGCCTTTGACCCCTCCCTTCTCCTGGCACTTCTTTTGATGCTATACATCTTTGTCTCCCCTCCCCCTGCCACACCTGGTGTGGAGTGTGGTGCCTTGGTCTGCCTGAGGGTTTGTGGCTCCCGGGTCAGGTGGTTTAAGATTTTTGGCGTCTGCTTGATCAATTCCAGTGGCCGCCTGGTGGGATCTGGGTCCCTGGGCTCTGCTGGGTCCCCGGCGGGGGTGGTTGTCCCTGGGTCCCGGGCTCGGCCAGCTGGGGGGTGGGAGGCTGCGGGCGGGCCTGTGGGCTTGCCGCTGATATCTCCCTGGACTCTGCCGGCTGCTGGTTGTGGCCCTCCGAGGCGATCCTCTGCGCCTCTCGAGGGGGGCAGGGGCTTTTTTGGTTGCAGTCTACTTGGGGTCCCTGTGCTCTGGGGCAGCTCCTAGATCTCTGGGACTTGGAGCTCCCTCCATCTCCTATGCAACTTTAGGGGGCGGATCTGTAGCCCCTCACACTCTCTATTGGACGCTCCTATAGAGAAACCTTACATAAACAAGTGCGTGTACACACACAGGTGCTCACATGGTGCTCTCATAAGTATGGACTTGGGCACGTTCAACACATGCCTTAAGGCTGTGGTTGGCACTAAATGCACTGTGATTTATTATCGTGTGATTGTTCAGTAAAACAATGTTAATTTTACATTTCTTCATCAAGCTGACACAGTGATAGCTTGCTCCTGTTGTATTGTTGTGTGTCCCTTTTCTGCAGGTCTAGAAGCAGACTCTTGTTCATCATTGATTGTTTATTTTTGTGGAACCCCCCCCCCCCACACACACACACACACACCTTTTGTCTCTTCCTTTTTCTTTCACCTCTGTCTCCGTGTCCGGTCAAAATTACAAAGCATTCAAAAAACAATAACAAAAAAGTTTTAAGTATCAGGCGTGACATTAAAAGCAGAAGCTTTGATGCTCCACCTGAGAGTAAAATCTGTAGGGCTTGTCACCAGCATTCAGACATTAATGCTGTTTGCTTCACAGCCAGATAGGACATGGAAAAAAAATTGTTCTGGGTGAGAGGTGGAGGGCTGGACTTGACTTCTTATTAGCCCCACAGATTCAGTCTGTGCGTATAAGTTTCCCCCAGGCGGTGAAAGGAGGGGCTCCCTGCAACTTTGGGTCAAGGAATGGGTCTTAGCTGATATTTGTCCTCTACCCTCTCTCACTGAAAAGCAGTTGAAAGTACTCAGCCTTTTGGAGGCCTTGGGACATGAGCAAGGTGGTGTTCTAATAAAGCACTTCAAAGTCCTTGAGGGCTTAAATCCTCAAGTGGGTAATAATGACAGTTTGGCCTGAAGGGATCCGATTGGGGGAATGGTCTGTTTTGTTATTGGACTTAAGTGCAAGTCACAGTTTGGCAATAATGACCTTGTTCAAACATAAAGATGCCCATTGATATGCATGGTAACAGGAAGGCCAGGTTTTAAATATATGATTGACTTAGTTGTTTTTTATTTTTGTATCGGTTTATTTGTGTATCAATATATGTATCAGAAATTAAGAGTTAAACAATATCTGCATATCAGACACTGGTGAAAAAAAAAGAAAATAACAAAAAAAAAAAAAAGCCAGTATGGAGCATTCCTACTTTTTACTCTTGAAAGGGTGCTGGAGGGGGCGTAGGGGTTTGACCAACAAATCCACATGTGTTTTGTGGATTTGTAGAAGGCTTCAAACTGTGACCCCAGTGTCAACCTATGGGGGGCCTTCTGTGAGTATGGGGAGGATGGCCTTCTGGTATGGCTCCTAATTGGCAGGAAGTCTAGAGGGTTGGACTTTCAGGGCTGTCCTTCATCACTGGTTTTGTTTGTTGCATTCATGTTATATTTGTGAACAGATGTTTCTAGGTGCAGCCCTGAGGTGGAGGGTGTTAAGTTTGGGGGCAGGTGGGTCCCATCTCTGCTTTTTGCTGATTGTGTGGTCCTCTTAGTTCTATAGAGAATGATTTCTCCTGCTGAGGAGGATTGTAGCCCAGTGTGAAGCACCAGGGATGAGGATTGGCACCTCCATGTCCGAGGCTCAATGAGGAAAGGGTGGATAAAAATTACAAGCCTGGGAAGAGGTCCTACCTCAAGTGAAGGAGTTTAAGTATCTTGTTCATGAGTGAGAGGAGGCACAGAAGATCAGCAGGTGGATCTGGACAGGGATTAAAACAATTGCTCTGGATTTTCTTGTAAAGAGATGTAGTTGTTATTACAGACATTTTCTTTTTTTTAATGAGTTTTGATTTTGGTTGTGATTTTATTTACTCTCCTTTGGCTAAATGATCCACCTTCATAGAACGTTTCCTGTCATTCTGCCTCTCCATCATACCGCATCCTGACTGCTTTTGACTTTGATCATTAAGTTGCACGACTCCCACGCACTTTCATGACAAGCAGTACATGCTTTGAACCCTGTAATTAGCCAAAGATGCTGCATCTTCTGCTGCCTTTCTGTGTATTTTGGGTGGCTGGGTGCTTTACAACAGGTGCATGTTTCTTCTTCAGACCTGGTGCGTGACCAGCATTCAGCAGGCTGCCCTTAAGGCGTAACCACGCTTAGCAGCATCAAAATGACTGCAAAAGAGTTTTCATCAATAAAAATCTGGAAATCTGAAAACAATTTCAACTAATGACATCAGCTTCGCTGACTGATGCAACTGGTGCATGATGTTGAAAGGAGTAACATTTGATTAAATCGCATGCACAGCCGACACGGGGGTTAAGTGAGGTGTGTTGCTCCTGTCGCATCAGTTGCATCCTCCCTTTCTGCTCACTTGCAGCGGGGAAAGAAGAGGCGCTCGCTTTAGATCCTCCAGCAGACAAAACGAACTGAGGATTTTGTTTTTCTTCCCCCTCTTTTCCTAACGATGCGCTGTTGACAGGTTGTTTTGTTCCCATTGTTTCGGGGAGCATGTTGTGGAAAATGCATGAAGTTGTTTTTCCGTCGTGCTGCAGGGTAGAGCTCAGGTTGTAAGGTGGTCAGAGGAGAGATGTGCTGTAAATTACTCGGTGGACTGTTGCTGGTTTATTTAAAAATCCACTCACCAGCCTGTCGGGACTGAGACGTGACCTGTTGCTGCTTTTCTCTCAGATCCTAATGTTTGGATGGATAACGCAGAACAAAAAAAGTCCGTGGGTTCATTTTTGAACGATGGATTGTTAAACGAAGACTTACTTTTTTGGATTTGTGCCCCGTTTTGAAAACTTTTAAAAATGGAGAAATTTAATTGAGCAGATTTTCAAATGTTTTTTTTTTCAGAAGTTTAACAGAGAAGTTCTTTTTTTAAATGCATACGTTCCGCAGATGATGGACCGAAACTAATCCGGATCTCTCCACTGAGCTGCTGTAACGGCGAGCACCGCACCCTGCTTTCTGGAAGAGTAATCCCTCTCCTCTCTCCCTCCTGTGTGGTTTGGTTCTGGCAGAATGGCCCGGTTCGGAGACGAGGTTCCGGGTTTGTTAAGTTCAGGGGATGGAGGGTCGGAGCGCAACCGGAACCGCGATGGGACCGCCGTGTCCACAGGTGGGATCTCCCCTGCCTTCAAGCAGACCAAAGCGCAGCGCGCGCGCACCATGGCCCTGTACAACCCGATTCCAGTCCGGGAGAACTGCTTCACCGTCAACAGGTCACTCTTCATCTTCGGAGAGGACAACGTGGTCAGAAAGTATGCCAAGAAAATCACTGAGTGGCCATATCCTTTTGTGCTGCAGGGTGAATGCACACTGACACTGTCTGTGTAAAGGCTCACCTACAGGTGAGTAAAACTGTCACAAACAAAATCATCTTTTATTTGGTCTCCACCGCCCTCCTCCACACACAGATCCATGTAAACATGATGCAATCAAAAGTGTGTCAACAGATCCCACCGAGTGTCGGGTTCGACAGAAATTCAGCACCATGGACAGCGTAGTATAGGAAAATGAAATGTTTAGTAATTTAAATGGCTGAATGATCTAAATATATCCCAATTGCATTGAATAAGGAAAAGAAAGTAGAAAAGAAAACAAGGACAGGTGTGTTTCTCTCTCAGCACAGGAAACATAGGGTGGTGACAAGTGGCTTTGAGGAACAGGCTTTCTTTTTAAGGCTGTAAATCCTTCCTTTCAACTATAATCCACACGAACTTGCTGCTTTTCGTTGTCATCTATTGGCTGGGTGTAGAAAATATAACGAACTCCAATAACTGATCCACTAAATGATTAATGAACCAACAGACAGCTCATCTCTGCTTTCATAACCAAGTAATTGGTTCAGTCTCTTGGGTAGCTTTGGGTTTAATATCTCCAAATTAAACTTCTATGTTTTTGTCAGAATTTTCAGCTGTAAAAATCAACAACTTGCAACATTCTGCGATTAGATCATGCAATTCTTATGGATTTTACTTGTTTAGTGAAGAAGTGGTTATGCAACCTCCTCCTTCAGTGAAAAAGGAGCCAGTTATTCTTTTCCTGTCATAGAGGAACAAAAATGTCGACTGGTGGCGTATTTGTGCTACTGTCTCTGTGCAGCTCACCAGGTGTCCCAGCCAGGTGTGGCCTCTTCACATGGCCTATTGTTCCCTTTCCATTCGTCAGCTTCCTGACTGGCTGGCCTACTGCTGGTTTCAAAACCCTGCAAATGGAACAAGTTTTCTTCTCGCGTTTGAGTTAATCAGAAATGGAAACAGATTTCACTCAACAGTAAGAGTCCAGGAAACACAGCTGAATCATATCAGTTAGCATGCTGCAGGTATTCGAACCCTGCAGCAAAGACCAGAAGACATTTGAGTAAAAATCAGGCAGTAACCAGCCAGACTGAACAACTTCCAGGATTATGTGCCTTTGTGACAGGAGTGTCTCATTACACATAACAAGCCCCTGATTAACCAGAATTAAACGTAATGATGTCTGATTGTTGTGTCTCGTGTTATTACAGCTAGTCATTACTCAACTTGTTGTTGGCTAATAAGGTTTTAAAGAAACTGATCGTAATATCTCCTTCATATTTAGAGTGTGAAGAAGGAATACCTTAGTAATTGGTAACCAGTAGATTTTTTGATGAATCAAACAGAGGAATGCATGTTTGAAAACATATCAGAAGCTTAGAAAGTTAATTGAAACTCTACAGGTAACGAATAACCTCTGTCCGTTTAGGCTTTAATCAGTTTGAACTAAATCTAAGTAATTTCATCATTTACTTTAATTTTCTAAGATTTTAATGACCATTTGAGCCAAATGAGAGCTGTTAGAAGGATTCCCATGCTGTGCTCAGCCAACAAGCCAATAATGTATATTGGTGCAGGGTTAATGGAAAACTCACACAAGCTTACACACACACACACACACACACACACACACACACACACACACACACACACACACACACACACACACACACACACACACACAGTGAGAGAGATACTTCTTTACAGTCTCTACATGACGCCTGGTAAATGTCAGCCTTGTTCTTGGAGTCCAACTTGCTGTTTTTCCTTCGCTCTAAGAGGCTCCATCTTTCCTCCAATCGCTCAATTAACAGCAAACAATCAATTCAGGAAGTATCTGTCAGCTTCCATAACAATGTGACCCCAGAGGCAGAGTTGTTAGAGTACACAACTCTACGTTTTGGAAAGTTACATGGCTTGTGTTTAATATAGTAGAGTTCTGGAAACACCCCCCCCCCCCCCCCCCCAAGGTACTTTACAATACAATCAGTCATCCACCCATTCACACACACATTAATGATAAATGACCCACACTTGTATAGCACCTCTCAGAGTAAGGACTCCAAAGAGCTTTACACTACAGTGTATCATTCATCCATTCACACACACATTCATACACTGGTGGGGATGAGCTACGATGTAGCCACAGCTGCCCTGGGGCGCACTGACAGAGGCGAGGCTGCCGAGCACAGGCGCCACCGGACCCTCTGACCACCACCAGCAGGCAAGGTGGGTTAAGTGTCTTGCCCAAGGACACAACAGCAGAATTCTCTGTCTGGAGCCGGGATCGAACCTGCAACCTTCCAATTACTGGACAACCCGCTCAACCTGTTGAGCTACTGCTGCCCTGGTGGAAGTGATAAGCTACGATGTAGCCACATCTGCCCTGGGGTGCATTGGCAGAGACGAGGCTACCGATCGCCACTGGTGCCACTGGTGCTTTCGACCACCACCAGCAGGCAAGGTGGGTTAAGTGTCTTGCCCGAGGACACGACAGCAGAATTCTCTGCCAGGGGCCCGGATTGATCCTACAACCCTCTGATTACTGGACCTGTAAGAAGACTGTATCTGGGTCTTCTTATGCGCTTGCAGGAGTGAGTAGTGGTTACATTTCTCTGTGAGTGACTGTGATGACCACCTTGCCTCCCTGAGGGTGGAGCTGATGGAGGCTGATGGAGGCCTGGCAGGGAAAACGCAGGGCTAATGAAGCTCACAGTCTCAGGTTAGTCTAGTGTGGAGTGACAGCTGCTCCTCTTTTCTGATCCCCACTGGGATCCCCTGCAGTGGGAAGTTTCCCATTGAGAAGGTATACCTCTGAATAATTGATTGTTGGATTTAATAGTTTGTTTCATCAGCAGCGCAAACAGAGAATATTATGTGAGAGGTGATTAGAAGACTTTGAGCCAGAGCAGCAGGTTCACAGTGCTGGTCTTCTGTGTTTTTGAGACTTAGAATTCACTTACAGCCTTAATGGGAATGAAAATTGCACACAATTTTAATTTAATTAGGTTATAAAGTTCATGCATACGCCTCTAGAGTGCATACATTTAAAGAAGATCATTATTTCTCGCTAACTAAATCGCATCCTTGCATGAAAAATGGAAATGGACAATTAAGAAGGAAATGACCCTGAGCTGTTCTCGTCCTAAACTCATTTTTACTTAGAAATTCAAAATCTTACATTTTATTCAACTTATTTCCTGCCTTAAAGCGCTTTGTTCACCCACTCATGTTAGTGTTGTGTTTTCCAAGTTGTTATGTAAAACCTAAAGTATAATAACATTAATGCATAATGTTAACATGCTGTGAATCATCGTGGACTATTATGAAGATTATACTATAAAATACCAAAACTTTTCTCTCACTTCTCTTTTGACTCTCAGATCTTTAGTCTTTCATTCGCTCTAAAATAGAACAATCTGATTTACTTCTTTATTTCGTGGTCATTTTATCACTTGATCAATTTCCTGCATACTGATAAAATAAATTATCAAAGCTAAATTGATCATTTAAGCTAAATTGTAATTAGCAAAGCAATGAAAGAACTCACGGACCTGAACTTTTATAGTATTTAATAAGATTGATTGTTTTGCCAAAGGGATGTTAGGGAGACACATTGTACTGCAGTTACATTCACTAATGTAACAACAGCTTTAATGTTTTATAAGTTTTGCTTTATTGTGATTTTTCTTCTGTTTTGTTGTGTTTATTCCCCAGACATGGAGTAAATTTCCATCCAAATGCAAATTACACATGGCTTCCCTTCTGTGTTTATTCACTGTTGCCCCTGAATCTTCCTCAGACACGCTGCAGATCAGTTACATATTTTCAGCTAGCTTGGCTCAGAGGCTTCGTTTTGATTTGCACCTCTATGCAATAAAGACAAACAAAAAATGATAATTATAAAAATAATCATGGGCGTTTGAATCCAGTCTGGGCTTGAACATATTCACAGATGCACAGGGCATCACACTCTGTGTCTGTGTCTATTTTTACACGTGTGTTTGAGGAACTGAGGCAGAGCGCCAGCGTCACTGTGACTCAGATGGCTCACGAGACGCCCGACTGCCGAAGCTGGTTGATGAATCACAATCAGCGGTTTTCATCAGCTGACACACAACAAAGTGAGGAGGGGAGGTGGATTAAATTTGTGTTTCATATGAATCTTTTTCAGGATTAAACTCTGGAAAAAGTTAAAGTCTGGAGCAATGATGAAAACAACATTTTTATGTGTCTGGAAACCCATGGCTCAGCAAATCAGTTTGTTGCTCAAGGGATACGTTGCAGCTTTTTCATATTTAAATCATTTTCTTGAGCCAGTATGTGCTACCTCTACTGCTCTCTGTAGCCAGAATACTGCACTTGCAACTTCACAGTGGCAGGCCACCTCCTGTTGGACTTAAAATAAAATCCCGCTTACACACCTGGCACTGCAGTCTGCTTCCAATACATTTCCTGCATGTTTTTGATTGTGAACACATGATTTGTTAAATTTAGTGATGAACCACTCCTGTAGACACTAAGGAAGGCTTGGAGACATTATAGCAGTTAGATGAAGGTGTTAAAAAGACTAACGCACAGCGAGGAGATGGGTTTTGCTTTCGATTTAAACCATAGTGAATAATAACAGACACCAGGGCTTGATGAAAGCAAGTAAAACTGCTTATTGCTTTAAACTGAAGATGTCAAAGTTAAAGTGAAAAATTTCTCGTTCTGTGATAAATCATCAGTGACTTGTTGCTCGAATACTATCAGCCCAGTGATCCTCTTCATGATTTCAGTGAAAATCTTTATTCATGACTTTGGTAACTCCCAAAATGTCTTTTCTAGACAACTCATTTAAAAATTAAGTATGCAGAAAGTAACTGTGTGCAACAACTGACAAAATCTTCTTACTTTGTCAATTTTATATAAACATTTATTGATGCAAATCCATTTGTCTCTGCAGATTGAAAATATAGACAAACAGCTTATCTGCATTAGTTGTTCTTTATGATCTCATAGAACAAAAACAAGGTGGTAAACATCTTCAGATCCAGTATCTATTGTATTTTTATTCTCATTTTCCCCGTATTTCTTTCTGTTTTAAAATAGAGAGAATAAGCTTTGGAGGTAAAGACCATAACTTCCCACACTTACTGAAAGTGCCAGGTCTGTGAGTAAGGTGGGAGCAGTCTAAGAATAGCAGACCTAAAATAAGCCAGACATCTCCCTCCGGAGGTGCTGAAGAGCTAAAGCAAAGACGTTAACATCCAAATTTCTTCCTCCTAATTTTTTTTCGGTGGATGTGTATTGGAAAATTGTTATTGCAGGTTCAAGGTGCAATTAGTGGTTAAAATGTAACAAAAGTCATCTTGAGTCACAAGAAAATGAGGAAACAAACAACAAAAGGATTTCACTGTAACTGAAATGATTATAATCTAGTTATTATATAAGACTCTTGCAGTCAGCCTAATTCACAACGCCGCTTTCTGTCTTTGGACTGTCAGCACTTGTGCGCACACATGGCAATCCTTCCACTGATATGCTTCAGCTGGCCACTATCAGTTTAGTTGTATTGACTTTTAGCAGCTGCCATAGGATTCTGTTGCCATGGATACCTATCTCCTCTGTCATTCTATCTTAATTTCCTCCCTTTTCTTCTCTTCCCGTGCATCCTTCTTAATCCCCCGTCTTGTAGTTTGATGTGGTTTAATCCGTCCACATTTGACAGTCAACATGAGGTGCAGCCCGTGTTTTACTTAGAGTCCATGCAGGCTTGTGGGAGAAGAGTATTTGCTCAGTTTGTTTAACTTCTCATCACTCATTTGTCACCGGGTAACCCAACAGCCAACACAGCATCAAACCATTTGGTGTCAGTCTTATGTTCCTCCTCCTTATCCTCTCGGTTCGCTGACTCTTACTTTCTAACTGTTATCTTCTTCTTCACTGATTATCCTCCTGATCTCTTCCTCCTGTTGCAACCTTCTGTCCTACCTCTGCTTCCGTCTCTGAGCCGTTCTCCCCCTCCTCCCAACAAATTTAAGCTACCCACTGCTCATAACCAGGGGGTAGGTAACTGCCCACACAGAGCATTAGGTAAAGAGCAGATCGCAGACCTTGTTTAACCTGAGAGCAGCTAGAGTTGAACCAACAACCAGTGCCGCACCCATAATACGTACGGTGCAACGGCTGGTCAGATCTCAGAGCTGCAGCCTAATCCCTGGCTGTATTCTGTCTGCAACTGACTTCAGATCAAACAACAGCTGTCTCTGGTCGTGTCTCAGCCTTTAGGACGGATAGTTCACCGGGCTGATTCTGTTTGAGACAGAGGGATTACTGTGGCTCTGCATATATGACACTGTAATGGCTCTGCCTCTGGGCTTGTTTCACCCTAATTAAGTAAATGACTTTTTTCCTTTTATTTGCAATCCTTTATCTGAATGTTAATCTTGTGTTCTGCACAAAGGAGTGTAGCTTCTGTCTGTGGCTTGTAAATATACGTATTCATTAGATTAGCTACATTACCTGGTTATGCTTCTATGAAAAACATCACATCTCATTTGTGCTCGTGACTCAGAAACCCCTTTAAGTTTGTTTTCTTTCATTTGCCTCATGATAATCTGCATCACACAAACTCATTTATTAGAGAACAAAGCTAAGAACCTACTTTAGTCTCTAGACTGAGATGATTTTGAATTTCATCAAACGTTGACATGAACATCCATTCCTAAAGGGGACAAGTTTGGGGATCTTTATGATTTTCCGGTATAAATTGTTGGTTGTTGTGATTTAAAAAAATCCCAGTTAAATATATAAATATATCATGTAGGAGACGCACACGGTGATATTTGAGAAGTGAAACAAAGTTTATAGGATTAACAGAAAGTGTGCAATAATTGTTTTAACAAAAAGGAAACAGCAGATCACGTTTCGGCTAGTAGAAGCTAACTGTTAGCATTAGCAACTCTTCAACACAACTTAACTCCTTCAGGCTTGCTTTATTTGTGGAGATAAAACATCAACATCATAGAACAATTGGAGTCAGTGGTAGTCACATTGCTGTTAGCCAATCCTAGGCGAGATGCCCAAATGTCAGGAAATAAGACTCCAAATCCTCTGAAGCTTCTTTCTCCTCGGGCTGAATTCTCCATGCTGAAAGTGAGTACATCATCCATTTCCATTGCAAATATTAAAAATGTGGGTGGAGGTCCTCTTTAAGTAACGTTTGTCATGATTATTAAGAAGAGCTCCTTAACATCTGTGTTTCACTCCATTTGAGTACATGATCCTTGCAACCATCATTGCCAACTGTATCGTCTTGGCCCTGGAGCAGCACCTTCCCTCTGAGGACAAAACACCCATGTCCAAGAAGCTGGTAAGGTTTTCTCACATAAATCAAGAACATTCAGAGTTCTCGTGTGTGTCTTCTCATGTGTGTCTCGTGAGCTTGTCCGTCTCTGATGTCTCCGTCGTTTCCCACAAACAGGAGAAGACAGAGCCCTACTTCATTGGGATGTTCTGTTTCGAGGCAGGGATAAAGATCATCGCTCTGGGTTTCGTGTTTCATAAAGGCTCCTACCTCAGAAACGGCTGGAACGTCATGGACTTCATTGTGGTCCTCAGTGGGTGAGTCCAAGTGTGTGTGTGTGTGTGTGTGTGTGTGTGTGTGTGTGTGTGTGTGTGTGTGTGTGTGTGTGTGTGTGTGTGTGTGTGTGTGTGTGTGTGTGTGTATTTGGATGATCCTCTGTGAAACTGGATTAGTGTCTTAAATGGAAAGAGAATGGTGATGCTCAGAGATGGCATGTGTAGGAACAGTGCATCCTCTGGTTGAGTTCTTTTTTCCTGTGAAGCTCAAAGACATTTTTAGGTTTTCTTGCATTTTCTTCTGAGTCTAAATCCTTCTTTTCCAAGAAAAAAATATTTAATTTCAGAATTTGCTTGGCTAATTCTATTTACTTACTGTAAACTTTGCAAAGTGGATACTTAATTTTATTGTAAGTTCAGTAAATGTTTAGTTTTTATCCCACATTTTAGCGTGGTCCTCCTGCCTCTGCAGTAACTGTGTTTCCTACTGAAAGCATCCATCACATCCAGTTCATCTGCAAACATTAACACTTTTTTTTAATTTAGTGGTGAATATTACCACAACCATTGGTGTGTTGCATGTTATAAAGTTAATTATTCCTTTGCATACATGTTAAAATATTTCTCACAGCGTGTAACCATCACAGCAAGTAACACACAGGAAACCGTCTAATCTGGTTTTATGCATCTCATCCATAAACAGTAAAGGTACATGTGGAAGATCAGACAGGCTGTAAATCCGGTCCATTAGTGCAGTAATATGTTGCATCCTTTATGCAGATTTTCCCCAGGGAAGAGTTAAAATAGCCTCAAAGGCAGAAAGAAGGCACACTGCTTTATGTAAACGTAGATATAAACAAATTTCACCCATCCTTGTTTTATTCATGCAAAACACAGACCTTACAAACACACTTTTCTACATTCTTATTATAAGAGAAATGTTATAAAACAGAGCAGTCATTACCAATCAACAAACTGTGTCACTTCTTCCAAAATAATTATATTTTTGTCATGTCTATAAAAAGGTTATTTTTTTTTTTGTCTTCTTCCACATCAAAACACTAAAAACACTGTTGGAACCATGCCAGCCCTGTGTGTGGAGCTGGCATGTTGCTTGGAAAACACAAGACCAAGAAGATGTGCACAAATTCTGCTGGGAAAGACAACGACGATGCATCAGACTTGCACGGGGTCAGAGGTTAAGTTAGAGGTGGCGCTGTGATGTTATCATTTTGAAAAGCGTGGGAATTAGCCATCTACATGAAAATGCAATGAAGGCATTTCAAGATTTTTCCACTCTGGAGAATTTTTTCCAAAAATGTTTCTTGATTTTTAAAAAGCTGACTTGGATCAGATGCAAAGCCATACAATTAAAAAAAAATGATTTTGTATTCACAGAACGCTATTTGTTTGTGCACAGCAGCCTCCCTTTGAACCTGTCTTTTAAAAAGTAGATAAATTATTTCTACTGTTATGAATTTCCATGAACCTGGCTGAGCCTCATTTCCTCCACCATCTTTAGCCATGAATAGATTAGGCACTTCTTTAATGAATCATTTGCCAGAACAGTGCAAAATGTGTCAGGCTTATTGTGCAAAGCTGCGTAATGGTTGTGTGCAAATAAATCAACTAGCTCCATAGAAATCGACAATGCAGCTTGCAATTGCTAAGTTACACATTTTAATGTACATGAAAAATCAAAACCCTGAAATAAGCTTTTAGATTTGTGCTCAGTTCTATCTTTATTTTTCATTTCCGCTTCACCCTTTCATGCTCCACTTGTAAAATACGAATATGTATGATTTTTGGTGTGAAACAGGTCAGATTTAAAAAGTCGTGACCTGATGAAACTTTGTTTTGGGATAAGTTAGGATGCGGGAGCACCACTCACCTGAGATCAGAACCTGTTAAACCAAAGTGAGGCAAAATATCCTCATTTCTCTCATTACCTGAACTGCATGACAGCTCAAGACCCCTTCTGGACTCATGTTTCCAAGTCTGTTCAGCAGGAAGATGATGGTGTTTTGTTAAAAGTAGTTGCATTGTGGTCAGAGCAGAGTAGAAATGTTTAAGATTTCAAAGGAGGAGCTAGATCAGAGAGCATAATCACCTCGACACCTGTCTTTCTCTTAAACACACACACACACACACACACACACACACACACACACACACACACACACACACACACACACACACACACCCTAAAATGAAATATTGTGCACTTCACAACCCTGAAGTACAAAGGGTGTCAGAAAGGGCTCTTAGAGAATTCTACATGATTCTGGGTATTTTATTATTGATGAGGCACACTCCTGCTCCTTAACCAGATTCTCTCGCTGCTGGAGAGAGGAAGCACATGAGATCCGTGTTGAAAGAGAAGAGTGTGAAATTGAATAACATGAAAAGAAATGTGGTGTTTGTGCATTTCCAGCCATTTTCACATACATTTGTGAGGACAGTGCCCACGGTAGGCAAGTTAGAGTAGGGGGAAAAGAACACACAGCAGTCTGATTAAAACACAGTGACACAGATGCATGCTAATGCATTTTACTCTTAAATGGCTGAATGGGAACAAGGAGGAGAAGGCTCAGGATGCTCTCCCAGGGGTGACGGATGCTGTAATCAAACTGATATCTCAATACTTTCTTCTGATTCCTTGACAGAACAGTTGGAGGACACAGACAGTGTCAAAGACACATGACTCATCTGAAATGTGGAATCAAAGGTGTGTCTACATCATTATACGTCTATGGTCTGCATAGCAATTGAGCTATGTTCGAGACGTTCCCCAGTGTTTAACATTCATTCATTTTTTGCACATTTTGAAAAACAAATAAAAAAAACTCAAAGGTATCTGTGTGTTGAATCTAAACCACCAGTTGTGACTCAAAGCAAGAGGGAGATGTGCTTGGCCTGAATAAAATAGCCTTCCAGGTTTCCTTTTAATAATCTTCAGCATGATGAAATGAACTCCTGATGGATCACTCTCCAAATTATCATTCAGGCTGCAGCACAGGTAGATTAATGCAAATGCTTGCTCTCTCTCTCTCTCTCTCTCTCTCTCTCTCTCTCTCTCTCTCTCTCTCTCCCCCTCTCTCTCTCTCTCACTCACTCACTCTCTCTCTCTCTCTCTCTCTCTCTCTCTCTCTCTCTCTCTCTCTCTCTCTCTCTCTCTCTCTCTCTCTCTCTCTCTCTCATTGTTCTGCACTGACGTACATAGAAGCACTAATTCACCTCCAGACCATCACTCAGGCATTGGAACGTAACGTTTATTAGAGTGAAAGAGACCTCTGAGACCTATTTATGTTTTTAGATAAATCACTTGCATGTCTGTTAGTCAGTAGTTAGAGGATCTCTGCAGAACGACCATAAGACATGATAACCTGACAGATGAATTTCACTTGTTCTTGATTGGACATGTAGAACTAGTAAATTAAAGTCAGCTTTTTTATATAGTGCACATTCCATGCACAAAGGCAATTCAATGTGCTTTCCATGTGCAAAATGCAGTAAAAGCAAGTTCATTTAAAACTCAACTTGATAACACAAAACATTAGATTTTAAAAACAAACATAAAATACAAAAATGAAATTAGATTGAAAATAAAACAACCAAGTTAAAAAATGAGCCATTACAGCATGAAAGTTTTCCATTTTGATTTAAAAGTTACTAGAATTGGGGCACATTTGAGATCATAAGGAAGCTGATTCCATCTGTGTGCAGCAGAGTAGCAAAAAGCAGCTTCACCCTGTTTGGTTCCGACCCGAGGTTCTACCAGCTGACTGTTTCCCAGGGAGCTCAGAGCCTTGCCACTGAGTCATTTATAAACTAGTAGAAGCGCTTTGAAATCAATTATGTAGTTTACCAGTAGCCAGCGTAGAGATTTAAGAACAGGAGTGATGTGGTCGGTTCTCTTGGTTCTTGTTAAGACTCTAGGAGCAGCATTCTGAATAAGCTGCAGTTGCTTTTGAAATATTTTGTGTTTTTATGCAGGATCTTGCAACATTGTACAGCAAGTGGGCTTGAAGAGAATCAGTGAGTTCTATTTGCACCAAATTCTTCAGCCATCATGACCGTACAGATGCGCAGTTAAATGTATTACCCATTCATCAGGAAACCATGAATATCTACAAGATTTATGTCTGTCACGCTGGCATCAGATGTGTAGGTTTAAGAAAAACTAAATACAAAGCAGCCAGTAGCTCAGCAAATTAGGACAAAGATCATGGTTTGGTGTAACATTCAGCCTTCAGCACTATGTTAAGCATGGTGCTTCATAATGACCTGAAAGTGGATGGATAATGGACTATATGGTATTAGAAAGATTTATGAAACAAGCAGCAATGATTTAGAAAAACACTAGTAGGATAAATGTTCAAGGAAAAATTATTTTCTTTTCAATTTAAAACTGATTGATCTTCACAAGTGAACCAGTATTCAAGGTGATTTCCTTCAAGCATGTGTGTTTAGATACAAACCTGTGGTGGTGTTCAAATATCCTGAAAAAGACTCACTGTGGATCCGTGTCAATTTGGTCAAATTGTGAAATGGACCTCACAACAGATGTCAGCAGATGCTGAAAGCTTGAATGCACAAGTCCACCTTACGGATATTTTAGCATTTCTAAGCTCCTATCAAATCTAGAATGATAATAAATGAGCGACATAAGGGCAGAGATGTGTGCAGGTGCAATAAACATCCAGTTTAACTTCCTTTTTTTGGGGAAGCACAGAACAGGTAGCCTACAATATTACTAGATAGCTTTATAAACACCAGACAGACAATATGCCACCTGAAAGGGCGAGCCTAAATTAATATTGATCTAACAAACTGCTACAGAACAGAGGTGTTCAACTGTGGTTCTCTGGGTCCAGCAGGGTTGAGCACATTGATTCGGCTGATTGACAAACCTCCCCAGCACTTCTTCATGTTCTTCACAACCCTGTTAGAGATCCACTCATTTCTATCAGTGGTGTAGGAGCTGGAAAACTCTAATATATAGTCACCCTTAAGAATTAAAATGACAAATTACTCATAAA